GCAGGTGGTAAAAGAGAAAGCCTCATGAAGAATCAAAGCTCATCACAAGTAGCTTCGCCACAAGCAGAAGTATATACTAATATATAGAAGGTGCACAGAGTCATTCATGCAAACACAAAACACCATCATGCTAACACACATGATACTTAAATAATGCATTCAACTTTCATTAAACAACAGAAGATGTAACATAAAGCCCAAATATACATAACTAATAACAAAAACTTTTTAAAAAACATGATTATTTAAACAAAATACTTTCAAATGTGGAGTGTCATGCAGGGAATTCTGGGAATATCAGTTTACAATTTTTGACTGTAAATTATACATTGATTAGTTATTTTTACTTCTAAAAACTGTAATGAAATGTCTGGTTAGATATTTTACACGGGAACTTACTGTTAACCTATTAACATTTTTTTTCCGTTAAAATTTTACAGTTAAAATTACACTTATTTTTTACAAACCATAGAATTATTGCAATGAATACACTGTGCAATTAAATTAGGGCTGTCAAATCGATCATGTTTAATCGCATCCAAAATAAAGGTTTGTGTTTATATAATATATGTGTGTGTACTGTATATATATATATATATATATATATATATATATATATATTTATATATAAATAAACACACACATGTATATATTTAAGAAATATATGTAATATATATTTATATAGCCTATTACAGAACTCATATGAATATACACACACACATACACACATATGTAAATGTTTCTTAAATACATATGTATGTGTAGATTTATATATTCAATATACACTGTACACACACATACCATGTAAACTTTTATTTTGGATGCGATTAATCTCGATCATTCGATTTGACAGCCCTAAATTAAATGCAATGTTTGTATATATTATAACCAAAACAATTTATAAAATGATTTAATATAAAAATAATTAAAATAGGAGTTACAATTAAAACACTATTCATTAAATTGGCATACAGTTACTTTTATATTTTATATATAATGTGTATATATATTAAAATTAATTATTACTATTATTTATATATGATAAATGTAAATGAATAAAAGCATACAAATATTAAACTTATAAATAATGATTTATAAATAATTCAAATAGATAGGCTCTAGCATTCCCGCAACCCTACAGAACAAGTGGTTTGGGGAATGGATGGATGGATGGATAATTAAAATAGGAGATTTTCCTGCAATTATATCCATTAGGGAGCTTTTATAAATAACATTGATTAAATTATTGTTTATCAACATTACTCAAATTAAATAATAACCAATTCAATTAAAGAGCTGGAGTGAAAATGCAAGGTGGAATTCAATTAGTACAGGAAGCTGTACGCTATAAGAGTAACATGAACCAGTGATCCCTTGTGTGATATTTGTGTTCTAGCCTAAACATATGAGGTAAAAGTGCACTTTGCACCCTTCATCCGTCCTCTATCTTTCTCACCCTTCATCCTCCTTTCTCCCTCTGTGACAACAACAAACTCTCATGGGATTCTCCGACCTCCCCTCCCTTGGCTGGTGTGGCCTGAACCTTGACACATAACATTCTTGTACTTCTCCGACTCGATCCCTCAGCAAGGCTATCTAACCATCGGAGTGAGGCAGGAAAACTCAACGAACCTCACAGCTGCGACAACACACGTCTTCACAGAGCTGACAAGAGAAAACACCCTGCTGTCTTGGGTGGGAGTGTGGATATGTGTGTGTGTGTGTGTGTGTGTGTTTAATCTCTGACTCCTTGTGTCACACACTCTCACACACACAGAAAAAACTATATTTTCTACTAGAAAAACAGATAAGCCCAGGCAGTGGCGTGCACAGACCTCCGGAGGGGCAGGGAAGTAATGGCGTAGAGCCCAGGATTTCTCTTCTTGGCCAAACACATGTTTTGATTATCAGTGAAAAGAGGTCTGGTCAACTATGTTATTCTTGGGACAAATATCATTGTATATGAATATGGATAGATGAACATTCAGTGTAATTGGCCATGGCATTTTCATCTGATATCATTACTGTACCATGGTTAATGGTGTCATTGCCCTGCCGCTTACATAAACATTGCTTTATTGAAGTCTTGTGACACTTAGAGATTGTATTCCTGTCTGTAAACTCTTTATTTTGCATCACATTTGCATTTTTATGTGTTAAACAAATGGTTACTCGTTCAAATCCTCTGACGAGATTACCATATTCCTATTTGAAAAACGTTTTTTTCTTGACAATTTAAAAAATAAATAAATGATGAAGTCCTGTGTTCGTATTTTCTGTGTGCTGTTAAACAAAACTAGCGATGCACGGTTCGTGAATGAATAACTCGTTTGAGTCGCTTCTTTGCAATGAATCTGTCAAAACCGCTTGAATCGGTTCGCGATTCAGTTCGAATCATTCGAAAAGCACTCACACACGCTGAATAGTTTGAAGCGGGTTTCTCAACTACTGTAGCGACACAGGAACATTTAGAACACGGCGAACAAAACCAAAACTTTACTTACAATAAACTGGATTAAGTCTACAAATCCATCCAATTGCCAAAGTTGAAGAAGTTGGTCTTAGTGAAGTTCCTCACCTGCACACGCAGCTTGTGAGCAGCTACTGCAGGTAAAACATTTAATCAGTGAAAACTCTCATATAACTCATAAGTATAATGGCGTTATCATGTTTTTTGAGATGTACTATGGTATACACTTGGAGTACCATGTCCATTTTATGGTACTGTAAACGCAGTGTCATGGAATAAATATGGAAGTATGGTGGTGTTACATGAAAGGTTATTTTGACTAACTGTCCTCGTCGATAAGCCATGATATGGATTTATTTCTGTCCCAAAGGAAGGCTGTTCTTCAGTCTGTTGTTTGTCTGGCCCATACTCATTTGTCCTGGTTCTGTTTATGTTTTGGGTTGTACTGTGAGGTTATTACGGTGGCCGAGAGGTGCAGAACAAATCACAATTCTGAAAACAAAATAACAAATTACAAACGCAAATGCAAGTCTACAAAACAAAATAACAATTCAGAAAGCACAAGAACAATTCAGAAAACATTATAACAAGTCAGAAAACACAATGACAAATCCGAGACCAAATTAACAAATCAGAAAGCACAACGACAAATCCGAAACCAAATTAACAAATCAGAAAACACAACGACAATTCAGACAAACATGAAGGTAGGTATAGTTTGAGACAGCGCCATTGGTTTGGGATTACTCACCGCTGACTGGACGAGACATCTGTCAATCAAAAAATACGGAGTGTCTATTTAGATTGAGTTAAAAGTGGTTGTGACGCATCAGCTCCATTGCGCAGATAGATAAGCGCTAGACGTAGGCATTTTGACGCGATCGACCCACTATTTTCAACAAGTAGTATACTTGATAGTAGAAATCCTGCTATTTTAACATAGTGTAAATAGGTATTTGCACTTAGTGTAAATAGCATATTGCTAAAAATACTGCTATTTTCACTTAGTGTAAATAGAATCCGTTGCTAATACGAGATTTGAAAAGCGAGAAAAAAAAAGTTCGGCAAAAGGCGGGATCGAACCTGGGTCGATCGCGTCAAAAAGCAAAGGGCAAGTGCTTATCCATCTGCACCACTGAAGCTGATGCTTCACATCCACTTTTTACTAAATTTAAATAGACACCCCGTATTTTTTTATTCCATAGTAAGGGCAATTCATACAATACATTTAAACTGAGCTACTTTAATACCATCTCCGAACTTTCTACCACGACTCTGCTGTTCTTCGGCTGGTTCTTCCCTGTATACGTTGATTGACAGATGTCTCGTCCAGTCAGCGGTGAGTAATCCCAAACCAATGGCACTGTCTCAAACTATACCTACCTTTTCCGGTTTGTCTGAATTGTCGTTGTGCTTTCTGACTTGTTAATTTGGTTTCGGATTTGTCGTTGTGCTTTCTGACTTGTTATAATGTTTTCTGAATTGTTGTGCTTTCTGAATTGTTATTTTGTTTTTTAGACTTGCATTTGCGTTTGTAATTTGTTATTTTGTTTTCAGAATTGTGATCTGCTTTGCACTTTACGGCCACCGTAGGGTTATTGTGGTGGGTCATTCCTGATTTGTAGAACATGCAGTATTCCTCATGGTTTATGAGGAACAAGAGCATCCTGAGAATATTGCGTGTGACATTATAAGACTCACTATTCAAAATATGTGAGATGATATGAACTGGCTCCAGGCAGGAAAATGTCAGGACAATAATGAACATTTTTCAATGTTTACATGTTGGTATGACATAGAGTTTTTATTTTATTTTTTATAAATATTTGCTAAATATTGATAAAAATATGTTGTGGTGTTGGTCTTGATATCTCTTAAGACTGCATAAAGAGAGATTTTGGTCTGAATCTGGGCCTGGTTTATGCTTTCAGACAAGACCGCAGTCTCACTTCCAGCAGAATGTAGGTGATAATTACCCAAACTAGTAGTCTGTGTGGTATCTTTTGTATGACCCCACAGTTCCCCCCCCACCATTTACCATTTAATGTGATTTTATTGGCATTGGCAGTTAACGCTTAGTGGAATGGAGAAAGTTGTTAATTTGTTGTTATTTTTTGGAAAATTTAAAACATTGACAGAATGGAGAAAACCTTATCTTAAAGGGGTCATATGATGCGATTACAAGTTTTCCTTTCTCTTCTATTTCTAAAAAAAGAAAGAAAAAAGGGTCAATTCCGACTTTGCTATGACAATCTGGCGCTTCTGAATCAACGACTGAAAGTATGTTTTGTTATTAGTTTAAGTATTGCTATTGACTGTTCAAATGCAGAGTTTTGTGCAGCGCAGAGTAACTCGTTGTGTGTGTGTGAGGGGAACATGGTCACATCACAGGAGAGTGAACTGTCTGTCAGAAATCATAGCACTTCAGCTTTCTTAACCGCAGCTTGTGTACTGCATCATCACTGTGTCTGACACGCGACTCTGTTGCCCTTCCGGGCTTGAACTGATGGTAAAACTAACGACATTATTAACGGTCTTGATATTTACTTTGAAAGCTGAAGCTCGCGATTATGGTAAGGGGCGTTACATTTCCGACGAGTGCTTGTGGTGTTCGCCCAATCACAATGCACTGGGTCAACTGGCCAATCAGAGCAGACTGCGCTTGTCAAAGGAAGGGGCTTTTTTAAAACGAAGCGTTTGAGAGAGGCGGGGCATAGAGGACCTACAATAATGTACAGTATTTGAAAAAGAATGTGTTTTTTGAACATTAAAGCATGTCAACATATTCTGTTACACAAAATACACAAAATAATGATCTTTAAAATAGCATCATATGACCCCTTTAAGCCAGTGGTTCTCAATTCCAGTCCTGGCGACCCCCAGCTCTGCATATTTTGCATGTCTCTCTTGTTTAACACACCTGATTCAGATAACCAGCTGGTTAGAAGAGAGCTCCATGCATGAACTGTGTTCCGATTGACAGGGTTCCTACACAGTCTTCATTGCTTACTGCTCCCTGAACTTCAGAACATTCATTCACGGATTTGCGCAACACGGCCTGTGGTGTCTTCACAACTTATACTAGAGAAGTGTGAAATGTGACATAATATTACTCTGTAAATAAATACAATATAAATTCACACCTTGCACAATTTAATGCCCTTTGAATGGAACATAAACGCTCCCTTCGAACTGGAACAAACGTCTGAAGTAATTAGAGATACATACAAAATGTGCAGAACGAGAGGTCATGAAGCATTTTTTTTTTAACCCTGCAGTTTTTTTCTGTTGCTTTAAGGTAGGCATAAATGTAATATTTTATAGAAATATTGTATTTTACGTCTGAAATAATAATAATAATAATAATTATAAATATAATATAATTTATACCAAAAAGTTATGCTAAAACTATTTAAAAAAGGTAATTTGAAGTAATAAAAAATACAATAAAGATGTAATTTATTTATTAAGACAATTGGTGAAAGAGAAATATTGTTGTTTTAAGGATGTATAAGGATATTTTTACTTGGAAAATAAGACAAATTAAAAATTAGGAGAATTTAATTTGTAATGTTAGTGTCTGTTGTGTGTCTGGATCCAAGTTTTTGAGGGCCTGGTATTGACCTCATCTCTAGAGTATTTTATAGATTTTTTTGCTGGTTTAGAAAGTTTAGCATTAGCTTAATTTCCAGGAGATTACATTTGTAATATCATGATTATTCCATTTTCCATTTCCTAAAGTAGAAATGAACAGTGAGCACATATCAATTTATTCAAGACTTTATTCCTATCACAAACATACATCAGTTTAACACAGTGCTAGTACACCGATCCAAAATGGAACACCGGAATGTTAAAACAAAATGTTATAGTTGAAATAAAGGACATGATATATATATGTTTAAAACATATAATTTTCTGTTGGTTTATTTCAGAGATACAGTCACTCTAGCACCAAATTTTGACCCTAAGTTTAGTCAGTTTGGTGTCAGAAATTTTGTGAAGAAGTGTAAAGTATTTAAACAAGATTTGGGTTTAAAAGTAGTGTAGAAATGTTCTTTTTGTCTACACTGTTTCTCATTCTATTGGAGGGAATTGATTAAAACCAAAAGCGATGGTCCAGGGTTTTATGGCTGAACTCAATTACATAATTTCTTTGCCTAGTGATTTTGTACAGTGTAGCAAATGTAGATACAAAATAAAATGCACCCACCCAAGAAACTTCTAACAGTTAAGGCAGGTCATTCAAACTATTAAGTCAGTCATTCAATCTATAAACCCTACATCTAAATGTCTAGAATAAAAATATTACAAAAAGAGAATAATACTGGTTTACAGAGTACGGTAAAGCTGTAACTCAAATCAGAAATGTCAGATAACATTTAGCTGTCACCCTGAGCACTAGTGGGCTGTGCAGCATATCTAATTGGTGTTAAATGTTGTTTGCAGCAATGAAGTGGAGTTGACGCATTGACGCTTAAACAGAGTTTTTATACTCAGCAACTCCAGAAATCATTACTTTGTCATGCAGTGATATTAACAAAATAATGTTAATATCAATTAACATTATATAAACATATAACATTTATAAAAAGACTATTAACTGGTCAAATCATACTGTACACAAAGACGAATATATAGAACATTTCATAGAGTCTAGAAACACACAAACAACCTGTCGCAAACAAAAACACAACTCACGTCCATTGGATTCTGAATGTTTCTTTATGGTGGGATGTGATTTACTCTCAGCTAGAAGCTGTGGAGCGCTGGGACAGGAGCACGGATCCTCCCGGCGTTCCATTCCAGCCCTGGCTGCTCTTATGGAAGCCAGCAATGACTCATGGGAAAGGTCCCCACCCTACAGTAGTATTGTATTATACTGAAAGGGACTAAAATGATTTTTTTGCATCATATTTTGATTGAATTTATATAATGTTCTTGTTAAAAATCATCACTGTCATAACTGGCACTTACAAACTGCTTTCATAACATACACCAATCTTTCATTGAATATCTTTAGCATTGAAATGTGTGCATTTATTTTGATAGATAGGGAGGAGAATTACTTGACCAGTTATTTTATCCCATTTTTTATCCTATATATTTGAATACCATATCTTTAACTTGTAACGTATGA